AAGGACTACAAATTATAACATGAAAGCAAAAATGTTTTGACTAAATAGCTTAAATCTCATAACATTATATATTTATTATTTTTATTATATTGACCTTTTAGGCGTGCCTGGCTAACAATACAGAAGTTACAATGATGTGGCACTCACGCACTCGTGTTACCGTAACCAGTAATATGAAACTGACCTTTAGTATTCACAAAGTGACCTGGCTTGGCTGTGTTTTAGTGGACTAGTATTTTGTAAAATACAGTCACATTTCAATTATTAAACATAATATGTGTATGTACATTATTACTATATACAAATATGTTCTTAAACTTATTTTCCAATATGGTACTTCCTTCTTCTCACAAGATCAGGAATTCTCATTTCTTGCTGCCATCTATATACAAACTTTTTTTTTACGCATGCCACCCTATTGGAAACAAACGATTCCAATGTGTTCCTTATGCAAATCATCATGCATCACCAATCCACCAATAGGATCATTGTACATTCACGTGACACATGTGACTCCCTCTATGTGCCTCTTCTGAACTACCACTTTTCGTTTGACAAAGCTTGCATTTGGATATCTTTCTCTTTTTGTCTGGTTTCTTGTTTGAGATCATATTTTCTCGAAGTGGTTTAATTTTAGTTAAAATACTGTTTTTTGTTGTTGTTTTTACTTACCCTTATTATAGTCACATTTCTTATTTACTTCAAACGATTTCGTCAACTATGTCACCATGAATTCCAAAGTTAATGTCATCACTTTGGGTGTCACTCAATCGACTACATTGTAGTGATGGCTTAATGTTTCGGTTTTACGTTAAATTTTTAATATCAACCTTTATCTTCTTTTTAAATACTTTATATTTTTGAATATTAAATACCTATTTTACTCTTTGTTATAATAAAAAATAAATCAACTTGCATTACAAACAATGTAGAATTTTTCTCTGTGCAGCCAGGATGATTACAGCCAGACACCAGTAATAGAGTGTTTACAAGCTACATTGTTGTATGCCCTAACAGCTTATCCAAACCATCATTATTGGCTGAAGACCCAGGGAGATGTTTTGTTTGGTAAGATTATGGTTCTCATTGTAGTCCATGGTTTTGCTGTATTTTCTACACTGTTGTTAGTAGTTTCTGCATTATTCCTTACCACCTGACATGTGACATTAAAGGTTAGCATTATTATCTACACTGGTATTGATCTTTTACATTGTTCCATACCCCTAACATTCAACTATTACATTATTCTGTACCCTGACATTTAATTTTTTACATTATTATTTACTTATGGTATTAAAGGTTTGCATTTTTCTTTACACTGGCATGGAACGTTTACTTTTCTATGCAAGCATTTTTACCCAAATGTTAACTTGCATTATTTATTTATTGATTTCAAAGTTGTTTTTCATATGTTTACAGTTTATCTTTAGAGTTAAATGAATCATGGTAGGAGGTTTTGTTGAAGTTATCATGCATCTAAGTGAATAGATAAGTTCGCTGTAATATAACAGTGAAAGATAAATTTTTGTATCTTTGAACATTATGAAGTGTTGGTAACCAAATGTATCTTCTTCCTGTAGCTCAAGGTCATTACTCTGGTGCTTTGAAAAATTACCTTTCAGCAGCGGTTGTTACCACAGATTATTTCAGCCAACTGTTACCACGAGGGATCTTTGATGACCAGCTAATCGGAAAAATGATCCTTTGTTGCACCAAACTACACTGTCACACCCAGGTAATGATATGTATATCACTACTGCTTTAAAATAAATTGTACTAAACTACACAGACCCATACACGGGTAATGATACGTGTATCAGTGCTGCTTTAAAACAAACTGTACTAAATTACACAGACCCATACGCAGGTAATGATATGTATATCAGTACTGTTTTAAAATAGATTGTACTAAACTACACAGACCCATACACAGATAATGATACGTATATCAGTACCGCTTTAAAACAAATTGTACTAAACTACACAGACCCATATGCAGGTAATGATATGTATATCAGTATGCTTTAAAACAAATTGTACTAAACTACACATACCCATACGCAGGTAGTGATATGTATATTAGTACTGCTTTAAAGCAAATTGTACTAAACTAAACTTACTCATACCCTAGTAATGATAGCTGTACAAGTACTGCTTTGAAAAATGTATCGAATACTATAAAACACTTTGTGTATCTGTCTCTCAGTCATGCAATGATGTCTCAGCAACTTATTACATAATTTAAGTAGTTTAGCTTTCTATCAATTAGAAGCGAGTTGTCTATGATTGATTAACAGTTAAAGATATATTTAGACTAAAATGTACAAAATATTGCACCTTTTTCGTAATTTGAAAATGTATCTTTGTTAAATCGTCAAGTTACCCCAGAAAGGATGTAAATATACTTTAGTAAACATTTTATACAATATATTAGAAGATTATTTATTGATAGTATTAAGTGCGTTAAGGTTTAGCCCTAACTGAACTAAAGCAAAAAATTTGCACAAGTTACAGTGTTAATTTATCTCTTTATTGAATACAGGCCGTACTTAATAAAGGCTTAACTAATGTTAGGACTAAGACAAATGGACTTATAGATTTCAGTGTCTGTGATTAGAAATCTTTTGTATTTCCCTAGAAATCTTGTACTTAAAAAAGTACTGTTGCAAATGTTTTGCGGGTCTTTGCTAGTTATAAACTAAACCACAATTTGATACTGAAGTAAAATGATATTGTTATCAGTATTTAGTAAATTCGATACTGTTATTGTTTATCATTAGAGTATGTTTACGTTTATAGCATTATTCCAAGTAAGTAGATAAACACTGAAGAGAGTATGCTGGGTTAAGGTTGAAACCAGTGTCTAAAATATTTTGACATCTGTGTTCAGACATGACCGTATCTATCTTCCCTCATACAAACACGTATACATTTGTGTACATGTATATATATATATATATTGAGATGGCCGAACATAGTGTAGTAGTAATCACAGATGGATAGGTCCAAGGTTGGAGCTATGATGCCAAGGAACATACTTCACACTTTCAGCCTACAACTGACAGATAATCCAGTTATTAGGTTCAAAGGGCCAAAGAAAGCCCTTGTGGTGACTTTTGCTACTGGCTTGCTGCCCTTCCTCTGATCAGTACTTCAGAATTAGGGATAGTTATACATGAATCCTAGAGGTCTCTCAACTGGCTCTTTATCTTTTTTTTTAAGGTGCCATTCAGCTTAAAATTCTAAATATGTTGAATGCTGTGTGGTTAACTGTAAACTGTACATGTTATTTATAACATCATAGTAATATTGATCACACACTATGAAATTTGAAAGTACCATAACCTTAAGCCAGCCAAAATCTGCTAAATTAGAAAAAAAAAATGCAATCTCTTAGCTACAATAGAGAAACCAGATTGTAACATTTTGTAAATGATCTTGAGCTGTTTATTAGAACAACATTATTGTGCTACTGCAGCTATCTTTAGCTTAATAATGAGTTTTTGATTTGTTGACAATGGGTGTCTAACTTGACTGTGGAACAAAAAGATTATAACACTGTGTATATAACTTGAGTAATAACATGAAGTGATTCTTTTCAGGCTGCTGTACTGTGCCAATATCAGGAAGAAATCAACTATACGACTGCATTCCGGGCACTCAGTGAACGTTATTGTAATGACAGTTGTGATACTTTTTACCAACACATATGGGACGTTAGTTTGTTAGAATACTTGGTGAATCAACACGTTCGTCGAGGAGATGTGGAACGTAGACGAACGCTGCTTCGTCTGATGGGAAACCTTGAATTAAATATCAATAACAATGAAGAAATTCAGCATGAAGCTGCTAATATCAGAAAAGGCAGATTTCTGAGAGCACTTGCTCATCAATATCTGTAATACATTCATATTCGACTTTAGGTGTTGTATTTGTAAATAAACTACAAAATAAATCTAGTGAATGGTGGCCGTCAAAATAAGTGTAAAATTGTAACTTTTTTTTAATGAAAAATGCAAATAAATAAACTTTGAATGAATGGTGGTGATTTCCACAGCTGTCATAAGGCAGGTGAAATGGCCTCACCTTATTCAAAAACTAACATTTACAGATATATATCGTAAGAAGTTATGATCACAGTATGTCTGTAAATATATTCAATTACATAGATGTCACCAGAGTGAGTCCCAAAGCTAAAGTTGTTTTATTGAGTCCCCACTTTGTTTAAAAACAAGATATAAAGTTTTACTTTTTTTTAATATAAAGTTTTCTTAATATTAGAACCAAATAATATTGATTACAATGTATATAATATGCATCTATTCTTCATGTAGTTGGGCCAGTAACTCAAAATCAAACAATGTAGGACTTGTGTTTTCCAAACACTCGACACACAATACATGAAAAGTATGCAAGCAAGACATAACTAAAAGAGCATCAATTTTTCTTTCAGCTCGTGGTCATGTACCCTCATCTGTAGTTGTGCCTATGGCAGCAGTGGCAGTGTCTACTTACGTTTTTATTACTTAAATCTACTTCACTACTTATAGTACTTAAACTGACTTACTTACTTCTACTTTTTTTCTATACTCTAACCAGCCTGTCATTAGTTACTCCAAAAACCCTGGAAGACTGCACCAATTGTAACATAGATGCCATGTAACTCACCATTTAACCTCTCTGTATCTACTTTCCTCATTATATCTGAATATTCTTACGTTGACTATGCTATATCCTAACCTTAAACATGACTGGTAATGATTTTCACAATTATTTATTTTCTTTTACCAGTATCTAGTTTACACTGTTATAGATTCTTAAGATCATCGCTCAGGGTGTTTACATTTACTTATTAAGCAATACCAAATCAAGTTAACATTGTTTATTTATACTACCAAATCCCATTTTACAAAACTGTTATATATTAATAAACTCTTGAACATCATGTCTTAAGATATAATTCATATCATTGAATTCAAATACAATAAAAGAATTCATGAAACATAATTCATACCATTAAATTCAACCACAATATAAGGAATTAAGTGTAGAAATATTTCATCATTGAAGTTACATATCCTTTTACTTGTGCAATACAATTAATATATCATGGTAATATAATAACAGACCCATTGAAATCAATCATATCCAACAATAATGCAAAGTTAATCAACTTTCTTTTAAGTTTAAGCTACCAATTATATTAAAAGTAAACCTAATATTAAGAAAAATACAAGGAAACACAAAGTAAATTGAAGATACATTACAATCAACCATCAATTCTTCATCTGTTATTGTTTTCTCATCTTCTCTTCAGAATTCATACTGAAAGTTATGGAAAACAGAAAACCTTGTATAGTTGGTGTTGTGTTCGTTTGAATGCACATGATAGTCACACCACACTCGCTTGGTATAGAACCTAATTAGTTGTTGATATGCAGGACACCCAGATTCTTCAATATTAACACGGGAGATGTATCACTCACGTGATTAACCTCGCTTTTTCTAGCCATTTTAGAATAGATTTTAGTATAATTGTACTTTATTTCTCAGCAGACATCGATCAAGTCTCTAAAGCTATATTGTCCTTTTTCCCACCTAATGTCGTGCAAATACCTGGTACAGTAGTGTAAAAAGCCAGCAGGGCCCGGGGGCAAAAATTATCACCAGGCCCCCTTTCTCTCTCTTTTTTTATCATTTTTAAGAACTTGTTTAAAAGAAGATACTAAATTAGGACAGCAACAAGCTCATAAACAAGGCAAAATCATAGCAGCAGCCATTTTTAGCTCACAGCGTAAGCGTAAAAACATTAATAAAGTAACAACAAATATCTATAAAGTAAAAATATTTCAATCACTCCTAATGTATCAAGCATCTATATGCAAAGAAAAGCCAAAAAATATGCTTTTTATGAATAAATGAAGATATAACTGGAGGGTATGATTATTCCCTGACCATGTGCAGAAAATTTCTAGCCAGTTTCAGGTACCCACTATTTCATAGCTTAATTACTCTAGTCTGATAATCAAATTGATGCACAAAATTAACTCATTCCTTACATTAAACAACCATGTTCTTGGAGTTTTTGTCTTACAAAAATAGAAGAGTTTCGAGACAATTACTCTCTTTTCACATAGTTCTGCTATCCTGTGTCTAATCCCTGAAAATATATCATAGTTAAAAATTACAAAGAGTACTGAATAAATTCCTAAATTAGGGTCACATACTCAAATGGGTCCCTCTATACATCTTAACATTTCTTCCATCATTTCTAGATAGGTATGCTGATCACTTGAAACAGTGATATATGGGTTTTCACTCTCTGTAGTTAAAGCTAAAGAGTTGTTCAGTGCTATGGTAAATGTACAGTTTTATACAACTTAAACATTTTATCTATTGCTTTTAAGGATATCTCTATAAACATTCTTTCTGCAGCTGTTTTTACAGCAGCTCCTGTATCTATATAAATATAATAGTACTGTCTGTTGTATGGCCAAGTAACTACTTTGCAGGGTGTGGATAGATCTTCACCAAAATTGGTATGGAGGTTCACTAGGTCCATGCGAGGGTGCAGACAAATTTTTGAGTTTTGCAGTTTTTATGGGCATTTTCACGTTTTTTACCACTACTTCGCCTTCTATTCATGGATCTTCACCAAATTGGAGATACATGCGAATTTGCGGTTTCACATTCTCTCTTTTCTACATTTCCTAAGATAGAATCCTAATCTATCCTGCTTTGTTTTGCCTGTTTCTTAGTAATTTCTACATTATGCTGTCCTATGGCAGCTAATTTTTCCATACCACTAGCCTTGCTTACTATTATATACTTTAACAGTATTACTTTTTCTCATTTATAGTCAACACTTTTATAGGCACTGTGTCTCTCTTGAACAATTTACTAAAACAAGCAGTTATAAAAATTCCTGCTTCTTCTATTTCAATAGGTTCAGTTAAAACTTCTTCATTTATCTTAAAATCATCTACTTCAGCTTCAACAATGAACTGACTTTTCACAGGCACGTCAGTTACTTTAACTAATTTTATAAATACTCTTCCTATCAAACACTCCTGTGGAGATGCTCTGTTGCTTATGTTAGGCATAATTGTAGAGTCTTCTGAAGGGTTTGATATATTATTTCCCTGGTTTAAAGTTTTCTTTTCTATCTTATCTTGTCTTGCTCTATTTCCACTTACTTATAGCTTCCTATATACCATTGCTACTACTTTTAACATTTTTGCTAAACTTAGGGCTTTTCTTTTTATCTCTAACTGGATTTCTCTTTCCACACTTTGTATTCCTATCATGCCCTTAAGAAATTCTGCCCTATAATACCATCTGTTTCTAAGTCCATCTACTTGCAGATGTGAAACGAGTGTTCTATCTCTAAGTCTACTATTTTCATCTGAACACTATACTTGCCTAGTGTTTTAACAGAATGTCCTGTTATGGAAGTTAGAGTACTTCTAGAAACTTCCTTCCAAGCATTCTTTAACAATGTTGGATTTTTATTCACTAATTCTGCACTTAGCAGAGAAGATCAAGCACCTGCATCAACCAATAACTGACATGCTATACCTTCTATTTCTACTAATACTACTGGTGACACTTCATTAACACTGTGGAAGTCATTATCTTATTTCAAACTGCTGGAACCACTTCTAATTCTGTTTCATAATCTTGGCTGGAATTAAATTTTTTGGCTCTCCATACACTGGGTTCCTGTCATTTTTCAGGAACTTTCTATTAAAAGTTCCAGCCATTGGGGCTCTTCTGTTTTCTGCCTTTGGTGGGAATCTGCAATTCCTGGCTATGTGGCCTTTAATACTACAATTAAAACATGCTATCTGTATTTTTTTTTCTGATAGCAATTTGTTGCCATGTGACCTAATTTGCCACAATTAAAGCATTTTAAGCCATCGGGCTTATTCTCTTTCTTTTGTCAGCTTACTTTATCATTTCTCCTATTGGTCACTATATTTATAGTAGAGTACTGAGACTCATAGATCTGCTTTTCATGTAGCTCCTCTCGTTTAGCTACTTCAATCAGATGCAGTAAAGTTGCATCAGGCATGTTGGCTTCATTTACATTTTTTGCAAGTTACATTACTGATTAACCCTTGCTCATAATCTGACATCAAGGTATCTTGTATTATCAGTTCATTTAGGAGTCTGTAAGCTTTCACATCAAAAGAATCAAATGTTTTGTTCTGAGGGATAAAGTTTCATTAATTAATCCCTCTACAATATTTATTAGGTTACTTACTATAATCAACAAATTATCAATTAAAACATTATTAGGAATATGCTCAGACATACTTTATAAGTTCTCCTTAACACGTTACATTTTACATCAATTTCATAACTATGCTATAATCAACTGAGAGAAATAGCAATTATCATTTATATTGAGGTTGAACAGTGGGTATTTTGTTGGAGGATAGACATCTTCAAGGATGTTTTTGGCTTAGGAGCAGTTGAATCAGGAACAGGCAGTGAACTCTCTGGCAGCAGGACCAATGGCCTCTTCTTCAGCATCGTAGAATTGAACTTTAACCTAAAGCATGGGTTCATATACTGATTTCTTTAGTATTAATCTTATGATTATCCAAATTGTGTACACATCCAACTCGCAAGTAGATCTGCAACTTTATTGGATGAATTTTGTTGACTCATAGCTTTCTTTCTGCTACAGGTGCATCTGTTTATCTAGATCACATAAACACTTGGTTCTTCATACTGCCTGGAATGCTTGACATATACATTTCCTTTCTTGGTCAAGTGTTGTTATGTAACTCCTTATACATTCATTAAGTGTGTACAACTGTTAATCATATTGTATATATATATGTGTGCTACACAGAATCTTATGAAATATATATTCCTCACTTCTTGAAGCATTTGAAAATATCGTAAAATGCCGCGAATGCTTCACTTGCTGATCTAAGATAAAGTCAGGCTTGCATGTCCTTGTAAGTC